GAGCGGTGTCGTCCGCACCGACATAGGCGCGTAATCTCCCCGCAGAAGGTCGCGCGTGAGCGCCCTCGCCTGCCTTGTGGCGTGCCGCGCCGACGGCCCGCGGACGCCGCCGCGTAAGGTCGCTGCGTCTTCTCGCGTAAGACCCGTCTCTTTTCCCTGGCATCGCTCGGACGTGTGCATTTTTTCCTCGGCGAGAACCATCGAGGAGCATCCTTGATCATTTGGCGAAGAAACCACGCACGAAACCGAACCAAAAACACAGGGAACGGACGTCCGAGCGATGGCGAGTTTCTCGAGGGAGGCAGCACCACCCCGACCCCGATACTTGGCGTGTGCTAGGCGGCCCTGGGCGTTTCCCGAACCGCCCTGCCCCCCGCGATCCCCTCCCTGGGTGCTTCCACGAGACGGTTCCGCTCGTCGGGGGGGCTCCTTGCGGGGGTGGTTGTGCTGTCCTTCAGTGTTCGTCGCTCAGGTGGTGGTGCTGCTGCTGCTGCTGCTGGTGCTGGTGGTGCTGCTGCTGCTGCTGCGACCTTTTTTGTCGTTGATCCTCCGCCCCCGATTTTTTTTTTTTTTTTTGTTTTACCGTTTGCCCCCCCCCCCCGCGAGGCTCTCGGAGGCGCCGGCCCGCCGCGTCCTCGGCAGGTTCGCCCTCGCGCCGCGCGCGGAGGGCGCCGCCGCGCGGGGCCCGCGCGCGGCGCTGGGCCCCGCGGGGCCGCTGGCGGCCGCGGGCCTGCTGGCGGCCGCGCTCGCGCTGCGGGGCCTCGGCGCGGTGGCGTGGGCGCGGCGGCCGGGGGCCCCAGGCCTCGGAGGAGGGAAGGGCAGCCACGCGCAGGGTCGAGCAGTGGCGAAGCGTCCCGGCTCGCCTATCTATAGCCCCACCGAGCAACGTTCTGAGAACCTTTTTGGGGGTTCCCACGAAGTGTTCGTAGAGCATGTCTGGCGGAGTCCGTCTTGTTCGAACGCATCGGGGTTATGTTCTAAGCACATTCGTTTTTGTCTTTAAAACATGCTTGGGTTCTGAAAACATATCGAGGTAGGACCATAGGAATGCCTGGACGGTCGGTTCCTGCTCAATAGAAGCACCCCTAATTCTCACAGTCAAGACGCTGAAGCAAGGACCGTTTTGGGCTCAGGAGGGGCTCCGATTCTCGGGCCGTTCCTTGGACTTCTGCCGTGGAGCCTGTTTGTGGCCTAGGCCCGTGGTGGCCAGAAAAGACGGTCCGTTCCTTGTCCTGCGTTCTTTGTGGTAGCACGATGGCTGTAGAAGGCGCGGTCCTTCTCTATAGATGTAGGCCAGCGCCTTTTAAGAAGCAGCCTCTAAGAAGCATTCCCCCCTCCTTCCACCTTCTGCACGCCGCCAAGAAAGCCGGCCACGCGCAGGTCGTCAGAGGCGAAGCGTCCTGGCTCGCCTGGGGCCCCGGGCCTCGGAGGAGGGACACCCAGACCCCCCTCGAGCAATGAACAAAATCATGACGTGAGGTTTTTCGCCATTCTCGGTCTTTGCTGGGACGCGGGGGCGTCAACCACCGACTCGGGATGAGCAACGGGTCCCGGGGAATGGGTCGAGGCCCTTGGGGGTCGACGTCATGAACAAATCATGACGTCGGGTGTCTGGAAAGCTCGGCCACGCGCAGGTCGTCAGGGGAGAAGCGTCCTGGTTCGCCTAGAGGCCCTCCAAAGAAAGTTCTAAGAGCCTCTCGTGGTCTGCACGAAACGTCCTCAGAAGAAGTCTGACTGAGGCTGTCTTGTTTTAACACGTCGGGGTGATGTTCTAAGAACCTTGGTTTTGTATTTCAGCATGTTGGGGTTCTACAAACATTTCATGGTAGGACTATAGGGATGCCGGGACGGTCGACCCCTACTCAATCGTCATAGGAGGAGAAGGTACCCATGCCGTTGCCCTTCCCTCTCGTTTCCCCCCTTTGTTGGGCCTCCTGGGAGGCCCTGGTCGCCACCACTGGATTCGCCTCGAAGTCCCGGTCGGCAAGGCCGGCATGGGTACGGAAACACTGGGCACTATGTCCAACAGCAGATCGTGTCCATTATGAGCAGGATTCGTTGTCGGCGTCACCGCGGACGTTGTCCATTTGAGACAGAAGGCCGCCTGCCAAACAGCGGCAGCTGTCGGTTTTGGAGGTTCCGCTGGCGGCCACGCGCGAGGGGGGACGACTTCTTCGGAGGAGGCTGCTCCTCAGCTGGCACGGGCCTTGTCTGCAAGTACAAGGCGGACGCCCTCTGGGAAGCAGCCTCCTCCTCAGAAGCCTTCCCCCCTCCCCCCACCCGCCTCCCTGTGCGGAGCTGCTGAGGGCGTTCGGGCTGGGAGGGGGAGCTCAAGCAGGTCCGCAACCTCGGCCGCTCGGCCCTCGAGCGGCTCGATAGGGACGGCGCCGAGGGGTGCGAGCCTGAACACGAGCTTGATTGATTGGGGCCAGACCGCGCGCGTTTCGTGCAAACCCATACCATACTCACCACCCACCAAACTACCCCAACCCAATCCGAAGGCCCAAATTTGCCCTCCATTGCCAGTAGGGGGGGGGGCGGGAAACTTAAAAAAAAAAAATGAAGCCCGTACCCCCCCAACCCGAAATTCGGGTCTCTGGCCGGGTTGGGTTGGGGTGGTCTGGTAGGCAGTCACCTGCTATGCCCCCCACCCCCCTGTTCGCGCCGCCAAGGACAGGTGCCAGTGCCCACGCCGCCAGTCGCCAAAACGAAACGCCCCTATTTCTGCCACGCCTGGGCAGCACACGGCGTCGAGGACCGCGCCACCCCTGCACGTCACGTGTTGGTGGGGGGAGGAAGTTGTGGGCCCCTCGCAGGAGTGTCGGGGATTGCTGGAAGCGCCCCTGGCCCCAAGATGCCCCCAGGATTTCCAAGTACGGCAGGTTCGCGTCGTGTCGTTGAACGATCCGGCGTGAATGGAACGGCTGATCGTTCAAGGCTGAACGATCCCCGCGGTGTCAGGAACCAACGCCAGGGTTGACACGACGCGAACCTGCCGGAGGCCCCCACGGCCTTCACAGCACCCCTCGCGAGGCCCAGAGAGCCCCAACTGGGCTCCAAAAGGAAGCGGGAAGCTGAGGGCACTTCGGGCCAGGGTTAAGTCGGGCCTGTCTCTCTACAGGAGGAATATTCAAAAATAGTTACAAATAATCAGGTGACGATGTGTTCATATGTGTGGACTGCTATGGCGCATTTTCGGATCGATTTTTAAATTCATATATATTTATATATACAGACATCTACACATGCATATACAGACACATACATATATAGTCATATATATATATATATATATATATATATATATATATATACAAGTGGCACGTGTGTGCCCAGGCTCATACAAAAAACTGAAGGGGCGTTTGAAGCAGGAGTGAAATGCAACATCGAAGTCGCACTCGAGCGCAAGTGGGGTTGCCACACCTTGCGATGTGTGTACCAGGGCCCCCAGGAAGCCTTAGGAGGCCCGACTTGGATACCAGAAGAGGCTCCAGGAGGCCCCAGGATTGTGAGTGTTGTGCGTGTGTGTGTGTGTGTGTGTGTGTATGCTTTGTGTGGTGCGTGCTTTTTGTGTGTTGTAGGTGTTGTGTGTGTGTGTATGTTTGTCTAGCGTGTGATGTGTTGGGCGTGATTTGTGTCTCTGTGTGCATGTAGTTCTGAAGCCCCAGGAGGCCCCAGGCGGCCTCAGGAGGCCCCAGGAGACCCCAGGAGGCTTCAGGAGGCCCCAAGAGGCTCCAGGAGGCCGCAGGAGGCCCCAGGAGGCCCCAGGAGGTTTCAGGACACCCCCAGGAGGCTCCGAGGCGGGGTCTAGGGTGCCAGAAGGTTCAGAAGGCCCAGGAGGCCCCAGGAGGTTCCAGGAGGCCCCCAGGAGGCTCCGAGGCGGGGTCTGGGGCTCGATTTTTCAAGCGAAACCGCCATTCACTGAGAATCGGGGTCACAATTATTGAAATTACCATGTGTTTTTGAAGGTTTTATGTTAAAATGATGAATTTCCCATGTGTTTTTGGACCCTGACGTCGCGATCTGCGTGAGGGGTGCCACCGATTTTCAGAAATTCGAGGATGTCCCGAGCGAAACGCCCAGACAAATCGCGGACGCGTGCGCATTAATCGCCTCTGAGCTCTACTCCCTCGGAGAGGTGCGTATGAGAATACATGTATGTATGTGTGTATTTGATAATCATCCAAAAACCGCCTGTAGGGGGGACCTGCCCGACCTAAGGCCAGGGGGACCTGTAGCAACCCCCGGGGGGCGGGCGTCCATTTCGCAGCGCTTCGCGCTCCATTCCGGGGGTGGTCGTCCGGCCAGGCTTCGGGAGAGGAGCATCTACCGATGGCGTCAGTCCCCAGAGCTCGAAGGGGAGGACCCCCTACCGTCCTCGCTCAGGGGGGGCAGCAGCGCGGCTGGCGGTAAGAGATGTGTTCTGTGGTGCCAAGTGTCCCCAGAGGTTATGGTGTGTCCTCTTGGGCGCACCTTGCACAGGACTGCCCCTTCCCTGCCCCTTCTTCGCCGTCGTGGGCCCCCGGTCGAGCCGTCGTCGCCGCCGCTGGATT